GAGAATAAAAGGATGAAGCAAAACAATACAAGTCACTACAGTCATGAAGTCTTACTCTGTCACCCTGGGGTTGAGTGCCAGGGAATCATCATAGCTCACAGCAACCTCAAACTCTTGGTCTCAAGTGATTCTCATGCCTCAGCTTCCCAAGTCGCTGAGACTATAGGCCAGCAGTTCTCAACTTGGGTTGCAACCCCTTTGGGGGGATCCAAAAACCCTTTCACAGGGGCTCCTAAGAGCATCCTGCATATCAGATATTTACATTACAATTCATAATAGTAGAAAATTACAGTTATGCAGTAGCAATGAAATTAATTTTATGGTTGGGGGTCACCCCAACATGAGGAACTGTATTAAAGGGTCATGTTATCAGGAAGGTTGAGAACCACTGAATAGGCATTGCCACCATTTCCAGCTAGTTTTTTTCTATTTTAGTACACACGGGATCTCATTCTTGCTCTGGTTAGTCTCAAACTCCTGAGCTCAAGCAATCTGCCTGCCTCAGCCTCCCAGAATGCTAGGATTACAAGCATAAGTAACTGTGCCATGAGAAAAAAATATTAATCAAATAATTAGTCTGACAAACTTAATCTTGTAACTGAGACAAGTGCGGTAAACAAGAAGATACGGCTTAACCAGGAAGACCTGACCTGGTAGGAAAGAAAGACCTAGTAGGATAGATGGGAGTTGAGCTGGTAAGATGGATGGGAGTTAAGCAGGCCAGAAGGACTGAAGAGGTGCCAGGCAGGGGACAGAGTACATAAAACACTTGTAGCAGAAGGAGCTTCAGGAGCACCAGCGTTTGAAAAAAAATATGGGTGCATTTATGTGCAGCAATATTTAGAGGCCAACCAATATTTAGATGTCAGAGCCAAAGGAGACAGCCAAGAGGAATGCGTAAATACAGCCAGCAAAAGGAGGAAGAAAGGTGGGCGGTGGCTCACGCATGTAATCCTAGCACTCTGGGAGGCCGAGATGGGTAGATTGCTGGAGCTCAGGAGTTTAAGACCAGCTTGAGCCAGAGCAAGACCCCTTCTCTACAAAGAGTGGGGCATTGTGTCAGGCACCTGTACTCCCAGCTACTTGGGATGCAGAAGCAAGAGGACAACTTGAGCCCAGGAGATTGAGGTTGCTGTGATCTATGAGGCAACATACAATACTGAGTATTTTGTCTCTTTGTCCATTTAAGAAGAGAATAATACAACATTCCATAATCCATGAAAAGATATTAATTTTTTTACTGGTAATTTTTATTCTTATAGGACACAATTTATATTTTGTTTCGCATTTACTTTGAGATTTATTTTCCCTTGTCTTTTCCAGACAAGACAACATGATGCAAAGCTCAGGTGGAGGGTGCGTCTTGTCCTACGTAGGTATTTTATATCCTTAGGTATATTCCTTGAGCAGTATCCGCTCTGTCTTACTCACCTCTGCACTCTTAGTGCCCAGGACAATGCCTAAGACACACTCGGTGCTCAATAAATACTTGTTGAATTAGTGAATCACTAAAGCAACTGAATGATAGCTTGGTTGTTTTAAGAATAAGTTCTTTATAGCACTTGCAGGGGTTCATGTGAACAGCATCTGTAAAGGCAGACCAAGCTTTGTGCCCTGTCTTGGGTCATGTCCAGCACCACTGCCTCCGAATTCAGTCACTGGCTTCTTTTTATTGAGGACCTGTGAATGAAAAGTACTCTAATAAGAATTTATTTATAGTTTATTGCATACTCTACTCTGATTAAAAAAATACTTTGAACTGTAAGAGCAACTGGATTTTATCAGTGTTTCACTGAGGCCAATTTTGGAAAGTAAATAAATGACAAAGGAATATAGGTAACATTAAAAGTAAATAGTAGGACATGTAAAATTTTAAAAACTTTTAAAACTTTAAAAGTTTTCTCACATTTAGGATTGCTTTTTAAAAATTGGTTCAAATTTTCAGAAAGTACCTAAGTAACACAGACTACAGCCTCTCTTAGTGTTACTTCATTTGTGCCAGTTAAGATTTGGGGTTAGCGGTGAAGGGAAGGAGGTTGAAGGATTCGGGAGTGGTGTGTGAATTAGCACTAGCGTTCAGCCTCAGACCAGCACAGACAGCCGCTGGAGGAAGGACTGGAAGAACAGGAAATAAGGAGATGTCATAGGATGAGGCGAGTGTGTCACAGAGAGTACAGTGATGGGAAGAGGGCTGCCCATCAGAGCTGCCCCTTAGGGAGCACCTGGAATGTGTCAGGCTTTGTTCTGAGTGTCTTTCACACATCCCATCATTTCATCCTTGTAACAACTGTAAGAGGTAGAGAATTGTGCTCGGTGTATTGCGCCAAGCAGATGTTTCCCCTTTCTTTTTTTCTTTTCCTTTTTTGCACTTTTTGGCCAAGGCTGGGTTTGAACCTGTTACCTCCGGTATATGGAGCTGGCACCCTACTCCTTTGAGCTACAGCTGCTGCCCAGATGTTTCTATTCCCACCTATAAAGTAACTAGACAGTGTCCTTTAATCTTGTTTTTCTTTTTTCCCCCATTTGGTTTGTGTTTCCCTTGCTTTTGAGTTCCATTTTGTCATCTGCCATGCCGAGACAGATTCACCCTCAAGATCACACCTGGCGTGTGGGTCACTCCTCCTTAGGCTCTAGGGTGAGGACTGGCAGGAACCCTGAAGCTCAGGGAGAACTCTCCTTGTGTGCATCCAGTGAGGAAGGGAGCTGTTTCTTTCTCTCTCTCTTAATATCTTTAGTTTTGGCCTTTGAAATTAGAACACTGTGAAGCTCGGCTGCCCAGCTTTTCAAAAATACGTCAGGCTATCTAAATATTCAACTTCGGTTGTGGAAAGTGTCATGGCCAGCATTCAGTATTCTGATTTTCTGAACAAATGAGAATGCTATAAAGGAAATTGCTCCTTACTTTGATCTTGTGCACGTTTTACTACGGAACAATGGAAAATCAGTTCATGTCAGCAGAATCGCGTTCATAGGCAGAAGATATTCTTAAAAAAAAATCATGTCTCCCACATTTCATTGCCCCTTTAAATTGGTGCCTATTGTTTCAAACCTGTTTTTTGTTTTTGTTTGTTGGTGTGAGACAGAGTCTCACTCTGTGGACCTGAGTAGAATGCTGTGGTGACATCATAGCAACCTCAGACTCTTGGGTTTAAACAATGAGCTTACTTAATTTTTCTATTTTTAGTAGAGATGGGGGTCTTGCTCTTGCTCAGGGTGGTCTCAAACTCCTGAACTCAAGCAATCTGCCTGCCTCAACCTGCCAAAGTACTGGGATTACAGACTTGAGCCACCACACCTGGCCTCAAACCTGTTTTATAGAGTAATTCATTTCAGGGACCATATAGTCTCATCTAAATATATGTGACATTAAATAAGTTGGGCCTTTTATTTAGAGTAAGTAGTTTTTATTTTATGCCTTTGTTCAAAAGAATTTTTCATGATGAAATGAGCAGCAAAATCTTGACATTAATTGCTTCAATCGGTTATCTAGTGTGAAAAATGAAAATAAATGGCTGAGTTCCTGTCTAATTACTCTTCTGCCCTTTTCTGGAATGAGGAAAAACATGAGCCACCCTCGAGGCATTAGAGGTTAAACAGCAGACAAGAGTTTGGAAATGCCCCATTGTCAAAGGCTGTGATAATAGTCTGAGTAGTTTCTAGAACCTGAAACTAGCCTGGGTCTCTGTCCTCTGAAAAGCTTCATGCTAGAGATCGTGAGGTCATCATGAATAGGATGAGGTGTGTGCGTGAAATCACTGCTGACATGGAAAAAGAAGAATGTCAACTATAGTCTCATGCCGATGACCCAGGCTTGTTTTACTAGCCAAGGATCCATGACAATTTTATGGACATGCAGACAACAGGACAGCTCAGTATGTGGCATTCACTAATGAAAATAGAGCAGGGGACTAACTAACACGGAGAATGTGAGGCATGCCCTGTTGGACGTTACTTTTGGATTTAACTATGTGCTCAGGACTGCAGTAGCTCTGGCCTGGTATATAATGATAGAAAAATGGTAAATATTTTCAAAAAGTAAGATGGTGTGAGAGTGTCACGGTTGCCGTTTCAGACAGGTTTCCCCCAACAGCGCTGAGGAGATTCAAACCACACAAAAGGGAACAGAAAAGTTTCTCCTTTGTGGTCACGACTTAGCCAGGTTTAAGTCAGTAATTGAAAAAGAGGTTCAAGAGGATGAGTCAGACGCCTTGTCACTGCTTTCTGAAGCGCTGAGAGCACACAGCTTTTGTGCTTTAATCTTGCAGGATGAGTGCTGTTTCCATGCACTTCTAGTTTAAACACTTCAAATCGAAGTGTAAATTATCCCACTCTCCTTTCTCACCATGAAGTCTGATTTGGACAATAGGAAAGAGAGAAATCTCTTCCCTAGGAGATGTGCAGGAGTTCCATGTTGGAAATAAATTAGTGAAGAAGGTGTAGTTAGCTTTATTCGTGGCGAGGGAGAATCAGTAGCTTACATTTAGCCAACGTCTAGGACCTCCATCACGCATTTTCTCTAGTGCCTCACCCGGGGCTGGGTGATTTTCCCGTAGCCTCGAATCCCTACCTGTATGTATGTATGTGTGCAGGTTTTCGTTCCTAAATTAGGGTTCTTGTATTGTTGTATAGGGACCGTGACATTTCTAATAACATGAGACCCCCAAACAATGTTGTTCTACAGATGACAACCCTGTCTGAACTGCATTTGGATGTCGGTAGAAAGTTCCTTCCAGGAAGGAGCATGTGAAATAGTCTCCCTGGAGTCAGCCCTCTGACAGGTGGGCCTTAGGCAGCCGGACACAAACTGCAACCTCGGCAGCTCAGATCCAGCCGGTCCTCGCGGATATGTAATTGACCCCAGGGCAGCGGTCAGGGCGGAGTCCGGGCCGGGCAGCGCGCTCCGGAGTGAGTCTCTGTACAGTCAGGGCTTCTCCTGGGCAGGGCCGGCTGCTAATCTAGCCGGGCGGACACCCGGGCGGCGGAGGGTGGGGGGTGGGGGGATATAGGCGGCGTCCGCTGGAAACACCTAGCGCAGGTAAAAGGGTGGCGGCGAGAGGGAGTGTCCATTTGAGGCCCTCTTAAAGAAATGAAGACTTAAGAAAACAGCAAGGAGGGGCCGATCCGTGTCTTTCAGACGCCTGGAGCCCCACCCTGGAGCTGGAGGAAAAGCCCCTTGGTTGAGAGGCTGAGGCTTCAGAGAAACTGAGAAGAAAAGCGCCTCTCCGCGCGCTCCGCCTCCTCGGCCTCGCACTCCTGCGGAGCAGCGGCCCAGCCAGCGTCCCGACCCAGCCCTCCCACCCGGCCTCCCCGCGCCTGGGCAGGCGACCTGTCGCCGAGTGCTCTCCATGGCGGCAGCGCGAGCCACCGGCTCCTGGAGCGGAGCGCTCTGCGGGCAGCTGCTGCTGACCCTCACGGTGAGTGTCCCTGCCGCCCCCACCGATCGCCGCCGCGGGGGAGCGGTGAGTGGGAAGCAGGGGTGAGTAGGGGCGACCAGAGCCGGGGTTCAGGGGCCTCGCTCCGGGAGGTTGAAAAACGGGGTTGGTGGGGGTGGGGGAAGGCACACAGGAAGAGGATCGCGACGTAGGCGCCCGGATCCCCAAGGGAAGGGAAGGGTGTCTCAGCAGATCTAATCAGCGCAGGCAGGTAGAGAAAACAGCTGCCGTCGCCCGGGCAAAACCGTGGCCTCCGGGTACGCGCCGGGACGCGGGGTGCACGGCGGCTGCTGCTGCGCATTTCTGGTACCTTTTCCCGGTATCTGCGGTCACCCCGCCTTCATTGTCCGGTTCTAGGGGAGCCGCTGGGCGGACCGGACCTAAAGCGAGTGTCTTGGGGTGAAAGGGGGGGCTACTTGCTACTCGCGGTCGGGGAATTGCTCAGGTGGTGGGAGGAGGTGGGAAAATTGGGGGAGGAGAGTCTCGACTTTGCGCTCCCGGTAGGCGGGCGGGCCCCAGGTGACCATTTCTATAGTTTCCATTGTTTCTCAGTGTGTGGAGCTTCTGTCCCCTAAATCCTTGAGGGAATGATTGTCCTAAATTCTTGTCCCTAGAGGCGTCTAGATTATTCCGCTCACCCCTCCAAACCCCCAATCCTGCTTCTTTTACACCTTAAACAACACAACAGCAACGAACCTAAACCCTTCCCAGAGCTGGGAGGGGAAGGGGGTGGCCCTATTTATGGCGGGACAGACCCTCACCCAGGCAGCAAAGTATGGGATCTGGCTGCAGCGCCAGAGGCCTCGGAGTCCAAGGAGGGGGAGCAGTCTCTGGGGGAGTCTGGGATCAAAGGTGTCCCATACTGAACTTTTCTGTCCCAGGGAAAGGAGAAAAGTTAATTTGACCTGGTGTAAAAAAGTGTTCAACTCAATAGGGCCCCTTCGCGATGAGCCTCGGGCGTTGCGCGCGAGTCAACTCTGAAGGACAAAGGGAGGAAGGAACCCAGAGGCATGATTCCTTCTAGGAGTGCTGGAATTGGGCGCTGAAATGTTCGAATAGTTTCCCCTTCTTTTTTGCTCTCATTTCACAATAGAGTCCAAGTTTTTAAAGTGTTGAAATTGTAGCTGTTACTATTATTAGGATGTCTTTGCCAAGACAGCGAACGGACTCCAAAGCCTTAAAACTACGTTCCCTGGGCATACTAAAAACATAGACAGGGCCAAGTGGCCAAGTTCACAGAAGTTAACGTTTTACAATTCAGGAAACTAAGAATGGACTAAATGACGATCATAAAGTATGTGGTTGATGACAGATTTTGCATCGCTCTGCGTGCGTTGGTGCAAAACCTGGGTCACATCTCAGAACCTTTTTAGGAAAGAGTGAGGTATAAGTGTCCTTGGTCTTTCTTAGTTTCAGAGTTTGATAGACCAGGGTAGGATGAAAAGAAAAAAATTGTTGGCGCTGGCTTCACCCTCATCCTGCTATTAATATTTCCTAGTTGGAAAGCTTAGGCCCTTACCTTGCTCTGACACTCCAATGTATATCTGTGCATACAGATATGCTCTTGTTGTGAGCCTCAAGCCTGAGAAACGTGTAGCCACTATTTAAGTGTAAAATACTGTTAAATCAGAATGACTTGGGGGGGGAGGGGGGCACCCTTTAAATTACCTCCTTCCCATAGGCCTGAGTAATCCTTCAACCTTGTGCAACCAGCTTCTCCTCACTTCCCAAACTGCCTCTCCCTCACTGGTCTTAGCCAGTTGAACTCTGAACATCATTTTCTTCCCAACCCCC